AAAAAAAAGTTCACTTTTATAAAGCTGAATTTATGGCTAAGCATGGAATTAGTCCTCTGGCTTCTTTTACTACTGAAGTGATGCTCACAGCAAGTTGGGTCAAACAAGCCAGGCCACAGCTTTTATTTTAGAAGCAAAGAAAGGTAGCTTTCATAAACCATCTCTAGCTTTCCACCATTCAGAGTTGATGTGTATTCTGCCCACAGCAGCATAAACTCCTGTGTTAGGTGGGGCAGGACACCACAAGGTTGTTTGCATGACCCAGCAGTAACTGATGATCGCAACTGCTTTTCCCAGCTATCAGACTGTATCCCAGGACACTCCCCTGTTCATCTGAGCCCTGTTTTTCTGAAAAACAGGGTGGTATATAGAGATATCAGATTGCATTTACATCCGCTTATAACCACACAGCCAAAGCAAACCCCTCAGACAAATATATGTCAAGTATGATTGTTCTTTGCCCGGAACTACTGCAAAGGGTATTATCCCATAGTGGCAGCACTTACTTTGCCTGCGTATAGCCATGTATGATACAGAATTGGATCCTTTAATACTTACATTGTTTTACAGGGAGAACAGATCTCTTTTCTATGTACTTAAACATCATGTTTTATAACCACCTACCTCTAAGCATTCAGACAGAATGGAAATATCAAGTCAGAGACCCACGGGCAGTCCAGCTCACCAGTCACTCTAGCTCATAGTTTGCCAGTAGTCCAGGACTGGGAATTGCAAACTATGATTAACCATTTTCGCTTGAGTGCAGTCCTACCTCATCTTGTAACAACTGTTTTGTAACCTGGAAGACCTATCTTTCACATATTTCTCACATCCTTGTCAGCTGAGCACTGGAGTCTACATATTGACCAGATACTGTTTTGTTGCCAAGAACCGGTGCCTGAGGAGGAAACTGAGCACTAAAACGTTGATGTCAATTCGTTATGTAAATGAGAAAAAGCCACAAAGATTAGATCCAATCTTCCCCTATTTCAGGGTTGCTTATAGCCTCTTCAGTTCAGCCTTACTCTTTGGCATGTCATTTCACTCTTAATATGATTCCTATTTTCCTGTCATGCTCCCTCCATAGCCTTTCCCTCCCTTCATGAAAAAAGGAGTTTGCAATCATGGTAATTATGCAGATTTTCACTGTCTCATGCAGCCACTTTCACCTCATCTCCCCTGTCATGTTACTTTAAGGGTGTTGCTGAGAACTCATCAAGTAAACCCACCACCATTTCACAGATATAAAGTAATCAATTTTTGCCTCAGAAAATAGAAGAAAACTTTTTTTTTTTTAAACTGGAGAGAGCTAAGTTTTGCAGTCTTCAAAATGAGAGAGGGAAATTTACATAGGGCAGTTTGACATTACTGTATCATAAGGAATCATTGGTAGCTTTGCTTGAAATATTTATTTTTTACCAAGGATATCCCTTAAGATTTTTATCATTATGTTGTTTATTTTTTTAATCACAAGGCATTTTATAAACATTGGTTAAACAACAGGGCCAAGCCTGAAGCACTTTTTAACTTCTGCAACTGCTCCTCAGAGATGCATCATGCTGCTCCATGCTCTCAGCTTGCAAGTAGAGGATGCTCACACTGCAAAATGCCTCATGCTGTCCCCCTCTCCTCCCTGAATCCTTGTGACACACTTGCAGACAAGACAAAATTATGACCTCTAGGTGTCATTTCAGTCTCCAGCATTCAAATCAGCCTATTCATGATGGGATGTCATAAAATTTTTAAAATAAAAAAAAACCTGCTGGTTTGGACCCACCCTGCCACATTCCTTTGATAACAGCTGAACCACACTTCACCAACTCAGAAATGAAAGCATGAACCTTTGTGGCCAGCAGGAAGAGACTTTGCCCTGACAGCACCCCCAGCCAAAGGGAGATAAAATAGGGGCAATAGCAGCAACAGCCTAAGCAATTGTTTTTATTTGGTAATATTTCATTAGCAGCAACATCTCAGAGAATCAGACTGCCCAGAGAAAGACAAATGAGATAACTGGGAAATGGAATATTTTTAATGTAATAATAGACTAAAAAGGAATAATTTGTTTAAACCTATCAAAACATAGACTGATAATCAGTATGAGGTATAAAAGAAAATATTTAAAGTAGTTGCAAAAATTTAGACATATAGTCCAGCCAGGAATAAATATAAAGCTGGAAGCTAGAAGGAAGTCTCATCAGGGATTGCTAAATTCAGGAACAGCCTCCAGTATGAGGGATGAGAACAAAAAAACCCAACTACTCTTAAGATTGAACTATTTCACAACAGAAACTGCAAGAAGTTGTTACCCTGGATAGCAGGGCAGAAACTTCAGGCAGCCACGACATCCCTGGTACTCCTGTGTTTCTAGCAGAAAACCTAAGATGCAGGCTAAGAGTCAGTATAAACATTCATACTGTGGTACAAAAAAGCCAAGACAACCATAATTTCTCAGAGTTTATGGACAGCCAGTCTTTTTCTCCAAAGGGAGCATAATCAGGGCCATAGTCTATTGGCAGCCAAATGAAAAACTAAAGTTGCAAAAATGTTTGGTTCTATATTCTTATCCAGGCATACAAGAAATCTGGATTTCTCAACTGTCAGAAAAATACCCTAATTACTAGGATAGCTAGGTATTTTTCGTAAGGGCACTCTTTAGTCACTCTTGCTGGAATGTGATGCTCTAGTTTAACAGTTAAAATGCTTAAATGGGATGTGACTCACCAGATACTAATCCTTGCTCATGGGATTTTTGTGAATTATTATTGATATAAAGCAGAATAATCTTGAAGGGGAGATTCAAAATAGGCCATGTCAGGATGTCTTAAAGCACAGTGGTTGGTCCCATATCCAAAGCCCTCAGGCAGACACAGTAAATTTAATGGATCCCACCTTCTGAGCAATTGTTCCAGTCACTGAGTTCTGAAAAATACATGGGATAATGAAAATCATTACACTGTTACTCCAGCTTGGCAAATCTAGGCCCTTCCAGGCTTTCTATTCTACACAGGAATGGCAAGGACCTATTTGTGAATTATTTTAAGATGACTGAAATAAGTTTTGATAAAGCTAATTAAATGATCTCTCAAAAGAATATTTCCCCCAGGTTATCTGTTGGGTAATAATAGGGGAGGGAAAAAGAAAATGGCCAAGAGTAATAAAGTCACAAGTGAACATGTACACAGACCCTGATGACTCAGTTACCATAATTACTACTTTTAAATCACTTTCTTCCAAGTAAAAATGCTTGAAAATACTTGAATTAAAAACAGGTAATGACATGGCAAAAATACTGAGAGAAAAATTACCATGGAGAAAAGCTCACTGTGAAAGAGTTACACTAACAGCACAAATACATGCACTGCTACTGAAGTGGAAAGGTTAGGATAAAATACCATGAGCACAGAACAATATGTTAAAAAAGTTTACCTTCTGCAAGATTCTTCATGCTGCTTTCTTCGACTTTCTCCAAATATACTTCCTATAATAGTTCTGTTTTATTAGAAAGCATTTCTTTGCCCAGGAGCAATCCCAGGAAAAACAAACAAACAAACACACAAAAGTGACTCAGATGTTTATATCTCCTCCCACTTGCCTCAGGGATTAAAAAATGCAGGCATTTAAAAAAAAAAAAAAAAAAAAAAAAAAGGTAAAGCTTACTCCTACAAGTGTGTATGGGGAGAGCATAGACAAGCTTTTGTCAACTTCTGTTTCCACACCACATATCCCAGAATAACTCCCTGTAGCAGATGCAGGCCCACTGGGTAAGCCAAACAGGATGGGAAGAAAGAAGGCATATTTTCTTGCTCATCTGCTTGCTTAAAAGCACTAAATTCCCTTTAATAAAGTCTTAAATATGATGGAAAAAGTTAAGGATGATCCTTGATTCTTCTCTTGGCTGCACAGGAAGACATAACGAACACAAAACTAAACAGACTCCTACATTCTATTTTCAGACCAGTCAGAGACTACAGGTCAGTAAGATTGATAAGTAAGATGTGCTTAGGGGTGATCTAGCGAGGATGAAGATCTTGTTTCCAATTCAAACCATAATACTTACGACTCTGTTTCTGCACACAGCTCAGACAACATGTGTCTTGAACTCCATTTTCACTAGGGAGCTCCCCCAGGGAGAATTTCTTTCCACTGTCCCACAAACAAGCTTGTAGCACTAACTGTGGTGCTGTAGTAAAGAGATGTTGCCTGTCTCATCTAATCATACTGCCTCAACTCTTAGAAATAGTCTGACACAGTAGGCAGAACTTGCATCCACACTTAAGGAGATGTAGCATTACATCATCAGCAGCGAGACCCCAGATCTACTCTAGTATAAGCAGAATTTAGTCCACATTTGGACTTAATGAAATCAATTTAGTTTCCTCCAATTTTTTTCTTCAAAGGAATCTTCACCCAAGTAGTGACATTTATGCTTCATCTGTAGTTAGATTTTTTTATACCTCCGGGACAGATAGATCTCTTATATTAACTTTTTTATGGTCTCTGCTCAGCAGATGTGTTAGGGTAAAGACTGTGATTTTCATTAAGATAGCACAGAACTGTTTGAATGATAAGCTGCTTCACGATGTTAACTTGAACTCAGAAAGGATGAAAGAGTGTGTGTGGGAGACTCCCTATCACAGCAAATTTCCCCCAGGGGGTGTGGCTGAGGGGGATTTTTCTTTTTTTTTTTTTTCAAAGACCACATGAGAGTTGCTCTCTGAATTTAGATACTCATGTATTTTTTTTGGCCATAAAAACACTCTGTGAGAATCTGTCAGATCTTTTACAGACCTGGAGATCTGCTTATCAGAAACAGAGTTATATGAGAAATAACTTGTGAAAAATAATGTAGCTCTACCTTAGATCCATAGAGGAATGATACAGGACTTCAGCATGTACTACTGATAGCCCAAAACTAATTTGAATTTGCTACAGTATTGAATTTGCTACAATATGCCTGAAACAGATCAACTGTAACCAGTTGGAACTAAACTTTTCACCAGAGAAGCAGAGAGCTAGCAGGAATACACACAGATTCAACCTGGAGAAAATGAAGACCTCAACTATTTGCACTTCTGACAAGGTAAGACTTGAAACAGAAATGCAACAGTCCTTTTCTGATTCCTCCTCTTCAGTCTACATTCTACCCCAGCTGCCCACCAGGTTCCGAATGCTCTTTAACAGGGCTGCTGGTCACACATAATCCAAACCGTCCTCAGAACGTATTTAGGACTCTGAGCAAACAAGATTTCTGACCCCTTCTGGTTCATCAGCATTCGTGGGCACAAGGCTCACCTGCAAAAAATGTACTTACAAGCTCACAGTCTGACCAGCCCTCCTGTGATGTGCAAGGCTACAAGAGATGGGTTCCACAGGTATGGAGCAGGACAAGGGGGCCAGCAGCATGTTCCTCACTGTGCCTGCCTGTCTTCAGAGATTATTTTTCCTTTGAAGTAACAGTTAACAGCTAAAGTTGGGGCAGGGAACAGAGAATGATGCTGTGGGTTTTTTATTAATTTACATGATATAATCCCATCTAAATAGAAGAGTTCATTTATTTAAAGATTGCATTCTGGGGAGACCAAGAACCTGCGGTGTCTTTTACTGTAGAACTTAAATAAGCAAGTGACAAGGCAACTTAAATAAGCAAATGACAAGGCACTTGAATAAGCATTCCAGAAAACCACATCTATAATAATGCATAAGCCTAGGTCTGAAAAATTATTTAGGTCACAAATGAAGCAAAATTGGAGGTATTCTCCAGTCGTTCTGCAATTTTGAGCACATCACAGAAGATGGCATAATTTATCCTCATCTGAATAACGTAATTCTGATACTAGTCAGTAGTGGTGAAAAAGCTGAAATATTAAATATTTGAAAAAGTGACTCTATGCAAAATTTACCTCTAAAATATTAAGTCAACTTTTGTTATATATTAAAAGCTTACTGTCACAATTTGCTAGCTGAGCTATAATTAAAAATGGGCTCTTTCTCCTATGACAAATTCTAGTTTTCAGGATTCTACATCCTCTGTGATTTTGACTGGCAATGTATTTTCTGCACTTGCTACAACTGATTTTATTCTTTAAATTGCAATAGCATTCATACTGAGATCTAGAGTTTCAGCAAAGATAATATGGACTTGCCTTATTGCGTTTATTTCTCTCCAGAATGCCCTGTCCTAATTCTGTGCACACTGAATCCAGTTTCCTGCTCTTACATTGAGTTATGTAAATGGTTTTCATTTGGGTTATTTTAAATGTGATTATCTTGGTCATGTCAAATCAATACATATAGTTCGTATTCTCCATCTCTTGACTTCTACTCTGAGTCTTTAACTCTTCAATCCCCACTTTCAAAATCTCTCTTGTGTATGACTTGCATTTTCTTTTTGTCAGTTTTTTCTTGCTGAACATATATTAACACTATCCTCTTGGTTATCCTTTGTGGGAAGCACTGTCAAGGCTGATTTTTGGCTCACTCATATAAGAGGGGTTTTGAACCTGCCTGCACATGCTGTATCCACCATCCTTCAGCATACTGGAGCTTACTCCCAAGCTCAAACAATTTCACCACTAGGAAACCCCCTGTAACACTCAGTAGAATTCCTTGTTCACTTGCATCTCATGACTGTGCCCTTCAGAAAATCTGATAAGATGTAGCTTATGCATTAGTCACCCACTCCTACTGTAGACCAGGCTCAGAAGCATGTCCATAACTCTCTCTCTTTAAGAAAGTGATCCATTTTAAACAGATTTTTTTTTTTTTGCTAGTCAATACTCAACCTGAAATATACTACGGTTGCCAAGATAGGTTAATAATTTGCCTATCACCAGGTAGGTCTGAACCCAGTCTCTAATTGCTGCTATCTAAGCCCAGAAGGGAAATTTCCCATAGTAGTGAAATTTTCTGTAAATTCCCCTTTACTGCTTTAGCAGCAACAGATATTTTGGTTCTGGGGGCTTCTGTGCCTAAAGTTGTTTTAACTGTTCTCTGAGCAGACTTAATGGATGCGAAGTTTATAGTCATAACTGATTTACAGATACTGTGATTTTTGTTTATATTAGGGCTCCCACTGTTGGTACCAACAACATAGATACAGCATCTTTGCAGTGGTAAAATTTGAATAGGGAACAAAGTCAGAAAAGTGAAGACAGTCGGGGTATTCTGCTGCTATTATTTCTACAGTATCCAAGCATTTGTACTTGTAAGTCAAACACCTTGACTTACTTTTTATTGATATCAGTACTTCTAATTCACGCTGACATTTAAGCTAAGATTTTCAAAGGAGTTTGAAGTACCTATATGAGCTTAATTCAGTTTGCACTGCTGATATCTCACACACTAATAAGGATCTCACTGTGACTTCTTACAAACACCAAGGGGGAGTTTCTGTTTTTCAGGCAGGTTGTTAGGATTTAATAACTATGATTAATAACTTGGGGCCCAAGTGTCTCTCACATTGTCATTAATAAACCTGTTAATTGTGTTCAGTCAGTAACAGTACGGGAAGCGTGAAAAATAGACAGTGTCATGTTGACGGTAATCTTTATGGTTCTTTACAGACAAGATGAGGAATTCTCTGCTCGCGGCTATCTTCTTCCTGGCAACAGGTGAGTTTTCACTTGCTGCACAACTTACTGTTGTTTATAAACTGTAGAAAACCTTAACATTACTCAAAGGCCAGACTGTATTACCAAAACCATGGCCGAATTAAGTTCTGTAGGTAGGAAAAACAATAGCCAGGAACATTTTTTCCTTTCTTTCCCAGTCGCCTTGTTAAATGATTCCTTTTTATTCCCCAGATTCCTGCAACTGCATAGACTTGGATTTTCCATTTTGTCAGCAGCTCCCGGGTGGGTAAATATTTCTCACGTCATACCTGCGCAAGGGCACAGACGAACCTCACGGCTGACGGTCCCGAACCCGCACGGGCCGCGCTCCCACACCCCTCCTCGGGGGTCGCTGCCTCGCGCCGCCCACGTGACTGCCCCACGGC